CATTAATTTTGCTCGGATCGATTTAAAATTTTAATACATTATTTTTGATATTTTAAGAGAAAAACATGTATTGTGCACACATAAATAGATAAATGAATTTAGTTCCGAACAATTTTTACCTCATTTTTAATTATTTCTACCTAAATCCTAATTTAAATTTTTATTTGGATGTTTTCCCAAAAGCAAGGACTCGCAATAAATGTAGATAGTCTCAAATGGCATTAATTTTAAAATATAAAGCTGCAAAAATAATGAAATGGTAATGATGTATTTAGCATCCTATAAAAAAAAAAATGTATATGTTGAGAGCACCACGCGGAGAACGGCTAGGCACTTTTTATCAACTTAACTTGGTTTTACTTTTAACACCTAGTAATATGATTAATTTTTCGCAGAATACTTATACATTTTTTTAAGATATTTTATTTCTTACAATAATTAAAATAACAAGAAAGGAAAGCTAACTTCGGGCGGAGCCGAAGTTTATATACCCTTGCAGTTAAAACCGGATATATATCGCAAACATTGGATATAGTTGGCATATCCTTATGATTACATCATAATAAAACCAATTTACTAAAATACAAAATCTAAAATAAGTCCGAAACTTCTATCTTCAAAAATACGAAAGTTGATATTTCTACCAAGTACCATTTCCGATCGTTCAGTTATATGGCAGCTATAGTCGATATAGTCGACCGATCCTAATGAAATTTGGTAGGTCGGATCAACTGGCCAATAATAGAATCTGTATTAAGTTTCAGCTTTCTATCTTCAAAAACACGAAAGTTAGGTCATTTCCGATCGTTCAGTTATATGGCAGCTATAAGATATAGTCGGCCGATCCTTATGAAATTTGGCATGTCACAATAATTTGCCAAAAATAGCTCTCATGTCAAATTTGAACTCTCTAACTCTAAAAACACCAAAGTTATACCATTTCCGATCAATCAGTTATATGGCAGCTTATATACTTATATACTGCGTGCAAAGGAAAGAAGGGTGTGTGCAAAGTTTCAAGACGATAGCTTCAAAACTGAGAGACTAGTTCGCGTAGAAACGGACAGACAGACAGACAGACAGACGGACAGACGGACAGACGGACATGCTCATATCAACTCAGGAGGTGATCCTGATCAAGAATATATATACTTTATAGGGTCGGAGATGTCTCCTTCACTGCGTTGCACACTTTTGGACAAAATTATAATACCCTCTGCAAGGGTATAAAAAGGCAACTGGCTGAGAGTTGTTAAATATACGAGTAATTAAAACATTTTATAAAGGTTATAAATTTCATGGAATTTTAAACCAGAGCCAATAGGTTTATTCCAACTTTAAACTTATAATTATATTTTAAATATTGGATATAGTTGGCCGATCTTTATGAGAACTTTTTAAAAATTTTTAAAAAGTCTCAAACTTCTATTTTCAAAAATACCAAAGATGGGTCATTATTAAGGGGTTATATATCTTTTTTTTTTTTTTAAAACGAAAAATTTTGTTTTGCTGAATCCTATGGTATAGAGAAAATTTTCATAGAGATCCGAATAATAGTTCGATAGGAATACAGCGTTTTGAGGCGCGGTTCGTCATGGCTGCGGACAGCGTCAAGCAACTTTGAATGCGATTATCTCAAAGTCGTGTTTTTCCAATAGTGCCTTCGCTGTGACCACGATTGCACAAGAAATATTTGATCGATCTTCTTAATTTTTTTTTTAATAATTCGTAATGATTGCGCCGAGTTCGTGAATGATTCAGTTTTTCTGCGCCAATTTTGATTTCGCAGATCAGAATTTTTTAATAAAATTTTTAGAATTCGAAAAATCAACTTTTTGGAAAAATTGTTACTGTATGCAGAAAAAACCAAATATTCTTGAAAATAATCGTTAACGAACTGGAAATAATACAATACTAATAAAAAATTTTTGGTTTTTTGATTTCGGTTGACCTGCTGCACTTCCATCGTGGTCACCGCAATTCGCTATAAAAAAAAGGGTTCCGGGAGAATGGCCATAACTTCGTAAACTATTTATATTTTTTCAAGAACAAACGCTTGTTTTTTCGATAAAAACATGTACTATCAATAAATAATAGCTTCAGTGTCATAAAATAATTGCTACACACTTGAAAAAAATCAAAGTTCCCTCAATTTTGTCGCTCAAAAAGGTATATAACCCCTTAACTGATCGTTCAGTTATATGGTCGCTACCAGATATAGTCGGGCAAAAACAAAAAAGTCGACAGCTTCAAGTCGATAACTTTAAAATTAAGAATCTTGTTCGCGTAGAAATAGATAGATTTGAAACATGAAACATGATTATATTATATCTAATCATGAAACATGATTAGATTATGATTATGATACTTATCGGTTTCATTGTTTATAAATAGAGTTTAGGAATAATTTAAACGTAAGAGAGTATTATTGTTATATTGTTAGCTCCCATTTTAATAATCCTTTAAGGTTGCAGTGCGCAGACATGCCAGATTTATAGGTAGGAAGGGCAAAACAAACGAAAATTGACCTTTATTTTGAGTTTGTGAGGGATTTCTCGTACATTTTTCTTCAGATTGTTAAGGGAAGGGTAAGGTCAAATCATGCGAAAAAAGCCATGTTTTTGTGATTTTTTTCCTGACGACACAGTTAAAATTTATTTATTCAACCAACGGTATATTAAAGTATGACATTAGAAGAATGTTTTATCAAATTTTTACAAAAAAATATTTAAAAATATGGCAATGGTAGCAATTGTCCGGACGTGTCGCCAAAAAAAGTTGAATTGCGGTGCCCCTCATAACTCGGTGCTGGATCATTTGTAATTAAAAAAATGAAAATTCATTCGTTAGATAATAGTTCGCCCCAGGTAACGCTGTAAAGGTTTTTTGAAAATTGCAATTTTTTAATTTTTTCGAAGACTTTGAAGTGAAAAACTCAATATTTTGGGAAAAAATCGGTTAATTTGTCATTGCGAAATCAAAATTATGAACAAAAAAAAAAACTCGACAGCGTTACCTCGTAAAATATGTACAGAAATAGTGTTTAAAATTTCAAAAGGATCGGTGCAGTAGTTTTGAAGTTATGAGGGGCACCGACTTTGAAAACGTGAGTTGTGGGAAAAACGCTTTAAAGTTTTAAACACAAAACAAATCCAGTGTAAAACGTTTACAAGCAACTTCATCAATAACTAATAACTTCGTCAATTTTTCTTTAATTGACTTGAAATTTTGACACAATATTCTTCAAATATTATGCATTCAATTTAAAAAATAAAAAAAAAATTAAAAAAAAAAATTTTAATACCTTCCCTCCCCCTAAGGTATAGTTGGCTAGTTTTTAAAAATTAGTTAATTTGAAAATTTCAAAAATCCTCGAGGCATAACCGAAATCAAGGGGTCTGAGATTTTTTGCCGAGTCCTTTAGATTTTAATTTTCAAACTAGGATGTTTAGTATTTTTTTGTATATTAATTTTTCTAAGACATTACCAAAAATTTATTTTTTGCACACTTACTACTTACTTACTCTACTGCCGCAAAAAACACGACTTAACACAATTAGGTAAAATTAAACATTCATAAAACACTGTTTCCCAATTTGTTTCGAATAACTTAGAAATAATTGGAGTATATTTCTTTAATGAATGTAGGTCATGTTAGTCTGTCCCAAACATTTTTTTTCAACATCCTACTTTGGGTCAACATCCTACTCCAAGCCGCTTGTGACAAGACACAAGTCCTTACAATCCGACCAGGGTACGCATTCTTGGCTGTAAAAATAAAATACCCACGATGCAAGCAGGTTTTGTTTGGAAATAAATTTATTTTTATGCGAATGCGAAATAGGTTCTATGGACACAATCCCGTCGAGCAACATTGTCATAGCGTGGATTTGTGGATGTGGGCAGATAAATATCTGCTTGTCGCGGTAGATTGGTTTCTGAAAATTGGTTTAAAATAGTAAGAACTAAGGCCTCCCCTAGTTTGAACTATGACAACGTTTTAATTTTTTGCAATTGTTATTTTTATAATTTGGGCATTGGAATTAAAAAGTAAATTAAGTAGTCCATGTGTGAAAGGAATTTTTTTTTTTTTAATAATTTAATTTTAAAGTAAAGCATACTTTAGAAGACGCACTGTAATACAAAAATATTTCGAGACATCTTTAGTCTTTAATTGTGAATGTTGAAACCATAACTTCGCGACTGTGTTTCTTAAACGCAAACATGAAATATGCCTTTATGCCTTTGCGACAAGAAGTATTGCGAAAAACTTTTTTGCTAGTAATGTCAATTCGTAATTTTTTATTTTTAAATATGTAATCATAATAATAAATTGAAATTATTGCATATGTTCAAACCCGGCATATGACTTCTTTATGCTTAGTTGGAGTGATTTTAAACATAAACTCGCGATACACTTTTAAGAATAATTTGAACACATTCGTGCAATGTACAATAAATTTTATTTTGTGTATTTCTGGTGACTGAAGCACCTAAAACGCATACAATAGTCCAGAAATGAGATAGTCCAAAATAAGGTCTTTGGATTCATTTTATTACCCTCGTTGAAGGGACCGTACTAAGTGCGACCCCGATTTTTTTTAAAATCCTTTTTTTTTAAATATCGTAATATATATAGTCGAGACATAGCATCAATGAAATATTTTTCGACTCGACTTTAACTGCGTCTATTTTGGAAGTGTATTAAGGGCAGAAATTGAAAACACTTGGCACAACAATTTTGGAAGTTTCGTCTTTTTAGTGTTAAGACATTATTCGGATAAAGCAATTTTTAATTAAATAGAAACAGGTACACCTTAGAAACAGGTATATATAGTCAAATAATTTGATTTTATAAGTTCAGTAGAACAAATATCCCAAGGTAATGATTCATGCATCATTATTTTCAGTGTTTATGTGACCTTTACTATACTCACCGTATTCCAAATATTTTTGGATTCAAAACAAAAGCTCAGAATCTTGAAATTAAATTAATTAAATATTGTTACATCATTATATATTTAATTTTAATGATTGACAAAAAAATATTCATATTTCTTGAGAAAATAGGACTACATATCTCTAAAATTATCGTCATGATTAAATAGATGCACGTAATGTTTCAAAGATGATAGGGATATTTTTTCAATACTGCATTTCAAGCATATTGTTGTTTTCAGTATATATTATTTAAGATTATTCCTTTTAGCGGCTTAAATTGTTTATTTTTTTTTATAAAGATTTGACGGTCGATATATCTGTCAAAAGTTTAAATCAAAGCTTGGTATTAATTAGAGTGCACATCGTTTTAGAATCCTTCTGTGAGAGTTCGTTCATGGTTTGATTATGAACGATTTAAAACCAAACGTAAAACGTAAAAGTACGTTTCTTTTCATCCTTATACGCGTGTTTGCTCCAGGGTCTAAAACCGTCGGCGTCCCCATGGGACATTATTTCCTCCGCCATTATTTCCACGTTGATTTCCGCCTTGGTTCATATTGTTAACCCCAAATTCAAAAGCGAAGGAGTCCTATTCGAGCAATGAAATACAATTGTTCAATTGAGTGTTACTTAACCATATTGAGCCCAATTTTTTAAATACAGGGAAAAATTACTTCTTTATATAAACCCAAAAATTCGTAATTGTTCTTCTTAAGAACCCCACCAGTTCCATGGTTGCAAAAGAGTAAATCTCCACTCACAAAACAATGGAATATATTTCTGTAGAAAAACCTATGATGAGGAGAGCATTGGCAACCGATCTTAACCAACTCTATTAAAATGTATAGGCATTCTTAAAATCCAATGTAAAACTAAACAAAACCGAAAACTCATATGCATGTATTGCATGCGCAATTTTAAAATAATAATCGCAGCCTTTGCAATAAAACACTTATATAAAAGTCTATGATGACTGTCGGAAAAAATGGTTCCCCGTATCATTTTCATTTTCAATGATACACCCGTTTGACAATAAAAATCCCTTTTTTGCAACTGGTACAAATTTAAAGTTTTTAAAGAAAAAACTGACAATGTTATCCTTTCAAAATTGAACTTGCGTTTTGGTTAATTATTTAAGAGAAGTGAAATATGTTGGAGTTGTACCACGTAAACGTGGCAATTGGTATGGGATATTCTTGTTAGGCTTTCTACATACCTGTTTATTGGGACCACCAGGTCCAGAGTTATTTCCCACCATGGTTGAGTTATTGTTGTTATTGCCTGTTAAAGAAGGGCATTATTACTCTGTTCCTTAAAAACTAAAAACAAAACCATCAATCACCTCTAAAAACTTCAAATGGTGAATTGCTATTGCCCCCGAAATTGTCAAAGCTTGAATTGTTTCCGCCCCCGCCAAATCCTTCCTGTTGGTCAAGTAGCGAATTTAGCTGCTGAGCTTGCATAAACAAGGTGTTTTCCTGCTGACGACGACGCATATCCTCCTCTTGACGCAGCATATGGTTTTGCATCTCACTCTGATGGCGGCGCATAGTTTCCTCTTCGCGTTTGCGCATGTCCTCAACTTGCTTCTCGCGCATTTCCCACTCCATCTTCTTACGTTCATTATCCACTTCGCGTTTTCGCAGCTCTATAATATTATTCATTAAATTATGTTTAAAAATTGTTATAACTGTCGTTAATATATAATTATCATCTTAAATTGTATTTTAATAAATGAGAAAAATAAAAAGAAAAATTTTTAGTCGCGTTAAACAACGTTAATACAGTCGAATTTGTACCCCGCTAAATCGCGATAATTCGTAAAAATTCTGACCTCTTAAAAAAAACTCGTTAATTCGTAAAAATTCCATACATTTTGGTCCCCTCGTTAATTCGTAGTATTTGGCGCAACGCAAAGAATCGTTAGAGAAAGCACCGTTAGATTTTTCAGACAGCTATGCCGTCTTTATGTCGCTATGCATCATGAACTTTGTGTTTCTCTCACTGTTTTCGTTTAGTTAGCTGTTACCAAAAATTACCAACTATTTTAAAGCTTGAATTTTTGTTTTTTATAATTTAATATTTTCTGCTTAATTGTTTAATTTTTTATTATTACAATTTAATGTGATTGTTTAATTTTCCTCTCATTTGAAAAATGTACATACTTATAATGTTTGTTTAATTTTATTAAAGATAAATACATATGTAAACATAATGTGAAATGTAAAAACCCCGTTTATTCGACTCTTTCATTTTTGAGCCCCGTTAAATAGAAATCTCGATAAATTGAATTCCCGTCTATTTCCTAAAAAAAGTGATCCCCTTGCCATTTCGAATTATCGGGACTCGACTGTATATTAATGGAAAACAATTTTATTTTTTTTGGAAATCATCAAAAATGTATAATACAGGGGGCCCGAGCTCTGCAAACGGAAGAGAAAACTTCCATACCAATGCAAAAGATCACCAATACATTGTTGAGAGAATTATTTTTCCCATCCATGTGAGTGCACTTAAAAAGTTACATATACAAGGGGTATAGTTAAACTTATAGTTACATTCACAAGAGGTTTAAAAAAATCAATATAATAAAAAAAAAATTTGATTATAGAAATTAAAACAAGAAAGGAAAGCTAACTTCGGGCGGAGCCGAAGTTGATATACCCTTGCAGTTAAAACCGGATATATATCGCAAACATCGGATATAGTTGGCCGATCCTTATGATTACATCATATTAAAACCAATTAACTAAAATAAAAAATCTAAAAAAATGTCCCAAGCTTCTATCTTCAAAAACACAAAAGTTGATATTTCTACCAAATACCATTTCCGATCGTTCAGTTATATGGCAGCTATAGGATATAGTCGGCCGATCCTTATGAAATTGTCGTAATGTTTTGCCAAAAATAGCTTTCCTGTAAAATTTGAACTCTCTAACTCTAAAAACACCAAAGTTATACCATTTCCGATCAATCAGTTATATGGCAGCTATAGGATATAGTCGGCCGATCCGGGCCGTTCCGACTTATATACTGCGTGCAAAGGAAAGAAGGGTGTGTGCAAAGTTTCAAGACGATAGCTTCAAAACTGAGAGACTAGTTCGCGTAGAAACAGACAGACAGACGGACAGACGGACATGCTCATATCAACTCAGGAGGTGATCCTGATCAAGAATATATATACTTTATAGGGTCGGAGATGTCTCCTTCACTGCGTTGCACACTTTTGGACAAAATTATAATACCCTCTGCAAGGGTATAAAAAGGCCCTCAATTTTTTACAACAGCTTATTATTATACTATGACAAATAATGGAGAGCTTCTTACTTAAAAAAAATGTTCGGCGAAGAAGAAATTTATTGCTTCAGTTCGACCTTTTTAGCAGAAACAAAAAAAAGAATGTATTTCTTGCAGTGAAAAGTTTTCGGCACTCCAAAAACAAAATTCATTCGGATTACGATTGATTAAGGATTGAGAATAGGGAAAACACGAAAAATTGTTATAGTAATTGCCCTTTGCCTATGCTCGGAGCAACGAAGCTTATGGCGTGACCAGTCTCACACAACTCCGTATGCATGAGCATTTGCAAAAACAAAAGAGCAGCGAGAGCAATGGGATGAGCACCACTGGTATAATACTTCGTTGTTTGGATATTTAAAACACATTTACTAAAAATGTGTAAATACCAAATTATTGTTTGGTAGAAATTTAATTCATATTAGGTTATTGTTTAGGTTCCATTTTGCAACGTGAACAAAATTATTTTCTGGTTGTAACAGTCGTTAAGCATTTCCGATTTAATAGCTTTTAAACTGAGAGACAAGTTCACTTAAAAGTTCGCTTTTTAGGGTAGAAGATGTCTCAGTGTTCCACACTATTGATTAATTTTGGTATTTGGAACAAAGGTATTTCTAAAAATCAGCGAACCTATTCCATTGCACCAGAAGTTTAAATTTATTTGTCGTTTCTTTCTTGACTTGAACTAATCTGCGAGCATTTCATGTAGCGCTTAAAAACTGACAATGTAAAATTCCTGGAGAATGACAGACAAAGATTATTCTTTTTATTCCATCCTTAGCAAAAACATATTAGCATTATAGGGTCGGTGGCTTCACTGCATTTCTAACATCACTACAAAGTTAATAAAGCCTTTAAAGGGTATATATTACACTTATAATCTATATTTTATAGTTATGTACTAACCTTGGCGCAAAAGCTCTGTTTCTTGCTCATAACGCGCATATTCCATCTGGGCCTCTAGCTTGTCCTCTTCCATTTTAAGCTCGCGCTTGAGAGCATCTTGCTTACTTTTGTAGAGATCATGCAACTGCTTCCACCGCGATCCGTACTCATGCTCAAACGAGTTAATATCTGCAAACCTGGGACCTACACTGCGTTCCTGGTTGAACTCCGGCATCTTCTTGTTCAACGCCTTCTCTGGCAACCCGTCATTATCGTCATTAACTTCCATTGGTTCTACCAGGCAGGGTCGGAGTGACGCAGTCAAAAAGAAACATTTCTCGTTGCACAAACGAAGACAAGCACTAGCCGATGACTTTTTAGCAAACTCAACAATTCCCTCGCCGAGGTGCTTTCCGCGGTCATCGACTGTGATGCTAGCCCGCTCGATAGGCCCAAAAATCTCAAATGACTTGTACAGCAGTTCGTTCGACACAAATGGAGTAAGGTTGCTTACTCGCAGAATGGTAGCGTTAGGAGCGAAACGGACGCGCAATTGGCGTCCCTTCCGCATTGACCCGTCTAGAGCCCGTTTAGCTTTCTCAGCGTTTATATGATAGTCAACCTTAAGGAATGTAAAATTTTTTTCTACATTTGAAAATATTTCTCCAATCTCGCCGAAAGGCTTGAACATTTCACGGAGCTCGTCATCAGTGACGTCTCCGGTAAGATTTCCAACGTACAGACGGTTGCGGCCAGAAAATTTCGCTTCAGTAGGCACTTCAACAGGAGCCAGCTCCAAAGTAGGTCCGGCAATGCTTCTCAACCTTTGCGCTATAAAGAAGTCTTCTCCGCCACGGGAACCACCGCCACCTCCATCCCGCCCGCACATGGTGTTATTAGGTCCGCCAGGGCCACCTGAACGTTGTCCACGATTTCTGTTTTCCCGCTGCTGCTGCTGCTGTTGATGATGTAGCTGGTTTCCACCAACTCCGCCGCCACCTTGATTGGAGCCAACACCACCGCCGCCTCCCCCGCTAACGTTATTACCAGCACCGCCTCCTCCACGGCCTCGGAAACCTTGGACTTGACCTTGCTGCCCCTGACCTTGACCTGGCCCTTGGTTTGAATTCTGATTTTGTTGATTTTGATTGGCCGGAGGTGGATTGTTTTGCTTTTCGAGTCCATTTCCTGCATCCGGTTTTGACGCTTCATTAGAAGATTTCAGCTGTAGGTTTAATATGTGGTTAGATCAAATTGAAATTAAATTTAGGTTTCATCAACAACGTTAATATGCTTCAAAAATCTATGTGAACTTTAAGAGGAGACATCTCCGACCATATAAAGTAAATACACATATTCTGGATGAGGATGACCTCCTGAGGTTAAATAAGCATATCCGTCTGTCTTTTTTTACGCGGACTAGACTCTTAGTTTTGGAGCTATCGATTCCAAACTATGCACAGACCCTTGTTGCATGGTATGTCTATGAGTCGTAATGGACTCATATCAGCCGGCGACATCCAATATTTGACGCATATCTGATATAACAGGAATTTTAAAGTTCAAAAGTAGACTCTAAACAAAAACAAACCTACATTTTTGAGGCACTTTTGTGGTTTGGAAATAAATAATAAATATAGTAGGGAAGCGGAAAATAATTGGTCTAGCTAAACATCATACAACACGATTTCAGTCTTAAAGGCGGAAGTGTACGTACCACACTTTTGACACAAACTTGTTATGCGCGGATACCATACGAGTTTAAGTTCCGAATCGGTTAGTCCTCTTTTATAGTCGCCGAGATCCAGGGGTTAAAGAATTTAAACACTTTAGTCAATTTGGCTGAATATTGTTTTCCAGAAAAAAAAATTTAAATAAACTTGACCTGTGCGCCTCATGCAAAATCTTATATTTCTAGCTCGTATAGTCTCAGAGATAGATGATTCCTTCTCTATATCCCTTAAGTTACACGTATACAATATAGCCATTTAGCCACTCTACGATTATCCGGAATAAAAACGGAAACGGTCAAGCATGAAAGATATGAAATTTCAGGTTCAGGTACACTGTGCGCCTCCAGATTAGCGCCCCCTTAGTATTTGTAAAAGAAGTAAAATATTTTCAACACGAATAAAGATGGAACTATATAATTTTTTTTTAAATGTAATTTGGTTGATTTTCTAAAGAAAAGAATGCTCTTGGACTTTTTATAGGTTTTTATAAAATTAAAAACTAAAGTAACATATTTATTTGTATGTGAAAACTGCGTCATCATATTAGCGCCTCTCAAATAAAATTTTTAATTTCTTTCTCAATTTTCTTAACACAACTCATTTATTTTTTCTGTTTAATTAAATACTTTTCTTTTCTTGGATATTAAAGGAACTATCATATCGTCGGAGGAGATGTCGAAAGTCCTTACATGTCATGAATGTGGACTTTCCACAAATAAGAAAACTTATGGAAAAATTTCGAATGAGGTAATAACCGTGTTATCAGTGCAGAAGATCGCACAGTTATACTCCGGGAGCCTTTCAGCTCCCGAGTCGACCGCCAAAACAATAAAAAACAAGAAAGAAAATCTAACTTCGGGCGAAGCCGAAGTTGATATACCCTTGCAGTTAAAACCGGATATATATCGCAAACATCGGATATAGTTGGCCGATCCTTATGAAATTTGGTAGGTTGGATCAACTGACCAAAAATAGAATCGGTATTAAATTCTTTCTATCTTCAAAAACACGAAAGTTGGGTCATTTCCGATCGTTCAGTTATATAGCAGCTATAGGATATAGTCGGCCGATCCTTATGAAATTTGGCACGTCGTATTGTTTTCTTTCTATCTTCAAAAACACGAAAGTTGGGTCATTTCCGATCGTTCAGTTATATGGCAGCTATAGGATATAGTCGGCCGATCCTTATGAAATTTGGCACGTCGTATTGTTTTGTCAAAAATAGCTCTCATGTCAAATTTGAACTCTCTAACTCTAAAAACACCAAAGTTATACCATTTCCGATCAATCAGTTATATGGCAGCTATAGGATATAGTCGACCGATCCCGGTCGTTCCGACTTATATACTGCGTGCAAAAGAAAGAAGGGTGTGTGCAAAGATTCAAGACGATAGCTTCAAAACTGAGAGACTAGTTCGCGTAGAAACGGACAGACAGACAGACGGACATGCTCATATCAACTCAGGAGGTGATCCTGATCAAGAATATATATACTTTATAGGTTCGGAGATGTCTCCTTCACTGCGTTGCACTCTTTTGGACAAAATTATAATACACTCTGCAAGGGTATAAAAAGCCTGGTTATAAGGCAAACATATCAACTGTTTTAAGGGTGCTTAAGAAAGCTGACTAGACTAGTTAAAAAGGCTAAAACTTAAAAATAAACCACCTCTTAACAGAGTCCAAAAGAAAAGAAACGCGACTTACGTTTGCTCAAACGCATATGACGTGGTCCAATGAGTGGAATTTCGTCGTATTTTCAAAATAATTTAACCTAGGAGGTCCCGAAAAATACTACTATTATTTTCAAGATTTACGTAAGAAAGAGTTCATTTGGATCGCTTGCATAGTCAGGTTTGAGGAGTGATGGTATGAGGTGCCATATCCGATTTAACCCAAAACCTGAACGCAGAAAATTAGAATTGTGTTCTAAAAAGTGAATTTCCGTTCTTTAAAAACTTATTTGGGAATGTGAAATGGCATTTCCAACACGACAAGGCTTCAATTCACACAGGCCAGTCCGTAAAACGTTGGATTCAGAAGGAAATTGTCAGTATCCTGGAGTTGCCGCCATACTCCCAAAACTGAAAAAAAATAAAACGTCTGGGGATGGTTGGCTAGTAGCTGTAGGAGGGTGGCAAGAAATATGCTACCAAGAAGGATTTGCGGTATAGAAGAGGCTTGGTCCTTGGAGAGGAAGAGGAAATAATACAGTTGCATGTTTAATCGTTTCGAAAATATTTCATTTAAAATGGGAATACTAGGGGGCACTAATGTGGTGACGTTTCTGATGAAATATGTTTTTATATAAAAGCCGTCGTTTCAAATTTAAACATGCTTCAAATTGAAAAGTTTTTAACGGTTACCCTCCACTGCATTTCACACTTATGGGTTAAATTAAAATACTTCCTGCAAGGGTATAAATAATTCCCAAGCGTATACTTCTCTAAGAAAGTTGTTGCATTTCTTATCATAGGAAATGGTCAGAAGTCAGAAATGGTACTTCTGAAATGGTAAGTCAGAAGATTCAAGTCTTAATTTGAAGTAAAACTGAAGTAAGAAACTCTAAATTTAGTACAGACAGATGGATATGCTTATAGTGATTAAGAAAAAGATACTGCGCAAGAATATTTTTTATAAGGTCAGGAATTCTTTCTTTTGTGTGCAACACAGTGTTGCACAATTTTGAACAATATCATAAAAAGAACACAAAAATGCTTGAACAAGTTTTGAAACTTTTGTTGTGTAATTTTTTATTTTACTATATAAAAAATTACACAACAAAAGTTTCAAAACTGGTTCAAGCATTTTTGTGTTCTTTTTATGACAAGAGGAAAGCCAATTTCGGCCGGAGCCGAAGTTGATATACGATTGAAGTTAACATCGGATACATATCGCAAATATCGTATATAGTTGGCCGATCGTTAGGAGAAATCATTAAAATATTTATTTATTAATTAAAAAATAAATTATTAATATACAAAATTTTAAAAAGACCCGGATCTTATATCTTCAAAAAATACCAAATAAGGCCGATTGATTATGGTCGTATTAATTGGTAAAAAATATGATCTGAGGAAAGTTCAACCCGAAAGTTCCAATCTTTCAGTTATATGGGCGTTATAGGGTTACTTCGACCTTATGCAATTTGGTGTGCCTTATTATTTTGCCAAAAATAGCATTCACAGAAAATCCAAACTCTGTAACTCTAAAAACACCAAAATTAAAGCATTTCCGATCAATCAGTCATATGGCAGCTGTAGGATATACTAGTCAGCCGATCCCGTTCCGACTTATGTATATACTGCGTACATAGGAAAGAAGGGTGTGTGCAAAGTCTATAGTCGATGCTTCGGGACTAATTCGCGTAGAGACAGACAGACGGACAGCTTATATCAACTCAGGAAGTGATCCTGATAAAAAAAATTTATATGTATACTTTGTAAGGTCGGAGATGTCTCCTTCACTCCGTTGCACACTTTTGACCAAAATTATAATACCCTCTGCAAAGGTATAATTATCCGATTTTTAATAGAAAATAAAGTTAAATGAATAATACAGACAAATATGTTACGAAATTACACTATTAACAATTCTCCAGCCGGCTTTAAAATACAATATTCCTTTCAATGGAATTGGTCCAATTATCTGTACATTCTAATGTACATAATAATGTTCTATTAATTATGGAGTTGGTTTTTACACAAATTTTTTATGATTAAATTCAAAATTACCAAGCTATTCACTTTTTTTTTTGTGTTTGGAACGAAAAAATATTTCTTCGTTCTTTACAAAAAATAAAAGAAAATTTTCATTTATACGAATTTAAAAATTGTTTTCCGTTGTAAAACACCAAAATTTGTATGTATACATACATACAACATATACGTTTGCAATAAGATAAGACATGTAAACTAATTGCGGCGATTATTAAGATTCATAAAAAAAAATTGTTCTATTATAATAAACTTACATTTGTATTATTTTGATTCTGCCCCTGAAAATTAGGACGATTTTGATTTCCTCCGCGATTCCGGTTGCGATTCGCAGTAAATCCACCCTTATTAGGAAAATTCTTATTTTGATTTTGAATGGGACCGGCTGCGGCACTACCACCACCACTGACAGCTATTCCACCATTTTGGTTATTTGGGCCACCAAATCGTGCCTTTTTTTCAGCAGGACTTCCATCGGCGTCATTTTGCTTCTGAGCGGTATGTTTTCCAATATTTTTATTAGCTTGGTTTCCCCTTTGTTGCCGTTGTGGCAGTGGACCAGAATTGGAATTTTCCAATTTTACCGCACTTTCCATTTCAGAGTGATATTCTTACTAACAAAAATTTATGGAACAAGTGTAGACAACCGTCCTCAAAAAAGCACTTACAATGAATAAAACGTACTAACGAAGTTTTATGAGGTTCTTGTGAAAAAATTGATGTCAAGACAGCTTCACTATGGCTTAGTGGAACCAAATGGAATGAAACAAATGCGGCTATTTAGTACGAAAATTTAAAAAATTAAAAAATTATATTACCAATTTAAGCTATGCGTCACAAGATAAAATCCCTTTGATTACCGCTATGTGATGAAAAACAAATTATAAGTGTAAACTATTTCAGCTATGCCTTAGTATAATGTTTAATGTTTAAAATGTTTAATGTTTAAAATAATATAATAAAAGAAAATTTTAAATAGACCTTTAAGCATCTCTCAAAGCAGAGGCGAGAATATGTAATTACGTTGCTTCCTATGAACGCATATCTAAACAGCGACATTCAAATGCACAGCCTTGGTAAATGAATTGAGTGAGATAAAAAAATGCTGAGACCAAAATAAATGAATGAGTAAGTGCGACTGTGTAGGTCTTACTCGCACAACATTTGCGGAATGAAACCCGAATTGAATGAGTTAGAGTTAGAGATTGCATTTGAATTTTTTCTAGTGCGTGCAAGAATGTACGATACAACTAGTCATATCTGCCAGTATTTTTAGACGCTGATAATAAAATAATTGAAATATGGAAGCAATTCATTGTTTTTTTTTTCAAATTTATTTTACATATCTTACGAATAAGAATGTAAAAATATTTGCAATATTTATTAATACATTTTTTTTTCGCTAAAAAGTTTGACGCTAAAAAAATTTTGTAAAATAATTTAATTTGAAAAAACCAAAAAACGCCGAAGAAAACGCCGAAACAGAAAAAAACTAAGAAAATAATAATAGCGGCTAAATCCATATGTATAAAAGAATTATGCATATATTCGCAAAAAAAAACAATATCATTATAATTCACCTTTGAGTCAACTTACTTATTATTAAAGAAGTATTTAAAGAAGCAAATAGAGTGCTTTTGGAATGAGAACTGCATTCGTCTATGCATTCGTTTTGTTTCTTTTGTTGAAGCAAAACGAATGCATAGACGAATGCAATTGTCATTCCAAAAGCACTTTTGTTTTAATAAGCTCTATCTAATAAATAAGCCATTTATAAGCTATTTATAAGCCTAGTACTCAGATCAACAAAAACTGATTTCCAGCTATGGAAGTGAGCTCGTCCTCAGATTAAAAAAATTTAAAAATTAAGTTTTATATTTAATAAATAATTAAAATTTAATAAATAATAATTATTATAAATAAAAAATTAAAATTTTTATTATTTCATCCCATTTTACAGGGTCAGTGACATACTTGCACGAAAGATTTGGACCTTATTATACCCTTGCAGAGGGTATTATAATTTTGTCCCAAAGTGTGCAACGCAGTGAAGGAGTCATCTCCCACCCTAAAGTATAAAGTATATATATTCTTGATCAAGATCAACTCCTGAGTTGATATGAGCATGTCCGGTCCAGTTTTAAAGCTATCGACTTGAAACATTGCACACACCCTTCTTTCCTTTGCACGCAGTATATAAGTCGGAATGCCCGGGATCGGTCGACTATATCCTATAGCTGCCATATAACTGCACGATCGGAAGTGACCCAACTTTTGTTTTTTTAAAGATAGAAAGCTGGAACTTAGTACAGGTTCTATTTTTGGTCAATTTCATAACGGTCGGTCCACTATATCTTATAGCTGCCATATTGCCATTGAACGATCGGAAATGGTTTTTGGTAGAAATACCAACCTTGGTTTTTTTGAGGATAGAAGTTTCGGACTTTTTTAGATTTTTTATAAATAACTGGGTTTAGACAAATCAAGTTGTCTAAAATTATAGATCTAATTAAATTAGTAGAAATTCTTCTCGTCATTTCAGATTTGTGCGCTAACTTAAGCAAAAATAATTTAAAATATATATTTTTACACCCAAATAGGTTCAAAATACAAAAGGACTTCTGAAACCAGTTGTTCCCAACATTGTCAATGTTTAAATTCAAATTCAAATGAATTTTAGGATGGACTGTAGTGCGTAACTTAAAAATATTCGTTCACACTGGAAAGAATAAACGTTTTTACTTTTCAAACATGTTTTTCGATCACAGTGCTAAGGCTGATATCAGAGTGCACGCGAGAAGCGAAGCGATGCGATGAGCAAAACGAGAGATGACAGAGTAAGAGCTTTGCGAGAAGCGAGCATAGTTCTATTTTTTAGTTAATGACTGTGTGTTAAAAAAAAAAGTGGCGTTCACCCGCTTAACTGCAGTAGGAACAAATAAGAAAGGAAAGCTTACTTCGGGTGGAGCCGAAGTTGACATACCTTTGCAGTTAAAATTGGAAACGTCGGATTTAGTTGGTCGATCCAACTTATTACAATAAAGCTAAAACAAAGTCCTATGATTCTATCTTCAAAAATGCCAAATTTGGTATACCATTTCCGACCGATTAGTTATATTGGAGCTATAAAATATAGTCGACCGATCGTTATGAAAGTTGGTAGGTTGGATCAACTGACCAAAGTCTGTACTAAGTTCAACTTTCTTACTACAAAAACACGAAATTTGGGTCATTTACGATTGTTCGTTATATGGCAGCCATAGGATATAGTAGGCCGATTCCTATGAAATTTGGTATGTCGTAGTATTGTCAAAAATAGCACTTATACAGAATTCGAACTCTCTAAATCAGAGGTCGGCACGGCCCTATCTCGGGGGCATAGGAAATTTCTCTGCCCGAGCTCTGCCACACACACACAGTATAAATGTGTGAAACGTCATGCTCAAAGCCTACTTTCTGCTATACGTTACTAACACTAATGCGGTAAAATCATATCAATGTATTGGGGTGCCGACCTCTGCTCTAAATTATAAAACAACAAAGTTACAGCATTTCCGATCTATTAGTTATGGCAGATATAGGATATAGTCGGCCGATCTCGGCCGTTCCGACTTATATACTGCGTGCAAAGAAAAGAAGGGTGACTGTAAAGTTTCAAATCGATAGCTTTAAAACTGAGAGACTGGTTTGCGTAGAAAGACGGCCAGACGGAAATGCTTAAAGTAACTCAGGAGGTGATCCTGATCAAGAATATATATACTTTATAGGGTCTTTATACTTTTCTGAAAATCTTTCGAACGTTATTTTGCAGCGATGTGATATGAGTAAGTGTGTTGGGCAAGGATACGATGGGGCAGCAAATATGGCAGGTCATTTGAGTGGAGTCCAAACAAGAATAAGAGAAAATTATCCCAAGGCAAGATACATTCATTGTGCCAGTCACCGTTTGAATCTTTCTTTGTCGAATGCCATGTCTGTTCCAGCAATACGTAACTGTCTTGGAGTTTTTAGTCAAATTGTAAATTTGTTCAGGAATCATTCGAATGCAAACAAAATTTTTTAAGAAACTATTCAAAAACATGCTTCAGACAGTAAAAAGAAACGACTTCTCCGGCTTTGTGACACAAGATTTGTCGAAAGGCATGACAGCATTATTGTGTTTTTGGAACTTCTTTAATGCATTGTTATAGCTTTAGAAGAAATCGCTAAAAAAAACGTATACTATTTCTTCAACGGCATCAACTCTTCACGCAGCGAGTCAAAAAAGTGAATTTTTAGTCAACACTGCTGTTTGCGAAAAACTGTTCAGTTTGACCCTTCCACTGTCGATTTTCCTCCAAAATAAATCATCAGATTTAGTTTCCGCTGTACAGTATACAAATGATGTATTGAGTTCACTCCGACAAATGCGGGAAACAGCTAACGACACTTTCAGAGAAATTTTTCAAGTAGCGTTAAAATTTTCTGCAGATCTTTTCGACACTGAAATTCAAGCTCTCAGAGTTACGTCACGACAAAGATCTCGTGCGAGTCCGCAAACGACATCGAATGAAGAGTATTTCAGAGTCACCACATTCATTCCTTGCATCGATACTTTGATACAAAATTTGACGGACAGATTCATCACGAACGAAGATATTTTATCCAGTTTCCAACTGCTACTACCAGGATATGCTTGCGAGAAAAAAGTTGATGAACTGGAAGAATTAGGTCCATACTTTCAAAACGAAATGCCATTGTCCCCAGTTCAAGCTGAGTACAAGTTATGGTGTACCAAAATTTCATCACTTGACCCATGAACCGAAATTTTGAGACTGTTGGAGTGTTGTGATGGAACATTTTTTCGCGGGATAAATCTTCTTCTCAAGGTCAAGGCTACTCTTCCAGTCACAACGGCTAGCGTCGAAAGAACGTTTTCAACAATGAAGAGGATAAAAACTCTACCTCGTAGTGTGATGGGCCACGACAGACTAAGTGCACTCGCGATGATGTCAATTCACTGGGATACTGTTGTTGATCCGGAGGAAGTTCTCGACCGTTTAGCGAAGAAAAAATTAAGGAAGTTACTCATTTAAGGTGTATGATCTGAAGGAAAATACATACTGCATTCATATTTTGCTATTTTGCTATTAGTTATAGTAACTGTTAATTGTAACCCTATACTTTGTACTGTACCTTTTTCTTGCACAATAAATAATAAAAGATCAAACGTCACGGACTGATTAATTATTTATTTATTCGAATAAGTCAACATTTTTTATTGATTTTTGTCCTTGAGCCCCCCCCGAAACAAATATCTGGATACGGCCCTGGTTGAGTCACTTCCGATCGTTCAGTTATATGGCAGCTGCAGGATATAGTCGGCCGATCCTTATGAAAAATGTCGTATTATTTTGTACCCAAAATAGCTCTCATGTAAAATTTGACTCTAAAACCACGAATGTTGGGTTATCGGCCGTCCCGACCTTTATACTGCGTGCAAAGGAAAGCATGGTGTGTGCAAAGTTTCAAGTCGATAGCTTTAAAACTGAGAGACTAGTTTGCGTAGAAACAGACACGCGGACAGACAGACGGACATGCTTGTGTCAACTCAGGAGGTGATCCTGATCAAGAATATATATACTTTATAGGGTCGGAGATGTCTCCTTCACTGCGTTGCACACTTTTGGATAATATTATAATACCCT